TGTTTCTTTATTAGAACTGTCCTGACTATAACCCTTACATAACCACTGTACATCAGAGGGCTAAAGGGAACTAGAGATGGATGTACAACTCTTAAACCTTTTGAACATCATCTAGAATAGCCTTAAGTGATCATAACTAAGTGTTGTAAACTATTTTGCTATCTAAAACGGTTCTAATCTCAAAACTTTGACAAAATTATCCTACCAGTCTCTTGTAGAAAACTGAAACCCATCTTGCACAGGGAGTCTTGAAAAGTTTGGGGTGTTCTTTTTTGTTTGCCCATAAGGCAACTATCTCTACCTTTCTCTGAGATAGGTGCAGACAAAGTTCTGCAGGTTATAGTTCTGCAGACCTATAACCAGGGGCAGCCATAGAGTAGGCCTGCCTGACCAACTGTTTCACATAGGTACAAAATAAAATAGCAGAGGGGCAAGAGGCATGGCTGAATTGTGGTAAAAAGGTGCTTTAAGAATGAAGCAGCATTTTGGTTTTAGCCATTAGAACATGACTTGGAGCTCCTGATGGAGAACGTCATACCAAGTTTACTCTGCAAGAGTCCGGAGTCATTTGAAGTAAAAACAAATTACAGTGGAAGATATACAAGACATGCTGACATCTGATTTTCTGATTAGATAAGATATAGGTAATGGTACTGCAGACTTCTCAGCTTACAAGTATATCTTGACCATGATGTAAAGGGATCACTACAATATAATTTTTCAATTCTTCTGTTAAGACTGCAGGAAAAAATGCTGGTCCCAGTACACGCAGCTAAGGGCTGGGAGACAGATTAGGAAAAAATGAACTCAATGTTGCCCTCAATTGCTGCTTCTTTTACAGCCACAAAGCAGCAACCAAGTGACACCATAAGAACTGCCGTAGGTGGCAATTCCTACTGCCAGCGTGGTGATTCAGACAACAGGTGCCTTACAGAAAAGTGCAGGCAGCTTTATTCAATACTCTACTGGAACTCCAGCATCCTTGCTACTCTTTCTTTCCTTTAACCTCTTGTTTGCTTCAGGTGTGTGACTAGAGGCCATTTTAATTTGAAGCCATTTCTGTGAGCAAGACTGATCTCATCACAGAAGTGGCTTTACTCGCTCCACCCTCTGAACTGGACTGCAGGAAATCTCAAAGTAGACTGTAGACACTCTGACATTGCCTGCAGTTCAAAGGGTAGACGCTAGATCTGCTGAAGTGCTACATCCTGATCAAGAAAAAAAATACAAGACAGTGCTTAACTGTTCATGCAATAGGTTATATTAGATTGTTCTAACAGAGTCTAATCACATTTTTCACTCTAAATTTAGGGCATTTCCGCATCTGCTGGATGTCACATGTTTTTGCCAACGTTTGACATTTCAGGGCTACCAATACAAGGGCAGCAGCAGCAGCAACCCTTTGGTTTGCTTTATCACACGGTATTTCTCCACTACTGTTGACCCAATTCTTGTAGGAGCAATTTTGCCTTGTCTACAACACTCCTTAAACAATGAATTGTCTGAAGCTAAAGGTAAAAATGCAGTTGTGTTTCCACAATACATGGTTGCACTACAAACACTAACCATAACCAACAGAAACATCACAACCAGATTTTGCAACAAGGGGGTGTAAAGGCCTTAACGCTGCTCTCTGGTATGATAATACCACTTTAGTCTTGCCCATATAAGATTTAAACCACATTTTCTGTTCTAGAGCAGAACCATTTCTACTACAGATTAAAGAAAAAAATAATAAAATCTGTGTACAACAGAAAGTCTGAAATAAGAAAAGGAAAACAACCACGGATGAAACCTATCGTAAAAGCTGGTCCTGAATCCAAAGACTAACCTATTCCTTTTGAGTGCCTTTCTGTATCTGAGAAGGGTAGATCCAAACCTACAGGTTTGGATCAGCCTCAAGCTCTCTGCTTTCAGGCTAAAACGAGACACAGTTGATGTCAGAAGCATGACAGCTTAATACTTTATTCATGCAGATGCCTAGAAATAATTTGATTTTGACTAAGTTCTGATTACTTTTAAACCCACCTTGCTTGGGATTTAATCTGTAGGTGTTACTGTAAGCATATCAGATGGATTAGGTTCTATACAAAACACTGAACAACCATGTCTTCTGGGGGAATTTTTTAGATATATAAATGTACTTTTTTAATAGAGAACATCCTCCTGTATATGCATTACTTACAGGTATTTTTATCTTCAATACATCAGTCAGTAGATAGGCAATCTGCACTAAAGACTCCCTTCACAAACTAAGCAAATCTGTGACAAAAGCAGAATTCTTTGAGGGCCGTTCTTCTTTCCTGTCTTAGCCTGAAGACAACACAGAAAGCTCCTCTCCTCTTTCATTGCTACAGTCAAAGAATCTACTATGAGTTTCTAATCATTCCAAAAGGAATACTCTCATAAAAAAGGGTTGCACTGCTAATGCCCAGTGAACTTCTGAAGAACGACAGGAATTTCTCTTGCCTCTGAAGATTTCAGAGACAGCAATGCAGAGCTATTATGTGCAACTCAGTACCAGTGTTGTTGAATCCATACTACTCAATGGGGAGAGAAAGACAAAAGACTCACGTCATCTGTTGCAGTTCAGTGTTTCCAGAGAACCTTATTCATGTATCTCTCAGCTTGGCTGAACTGCAAAGCAGTGCATCCTGGGCATCTATTGAGAATGCATGACCAGGACATCTTTTTTAACTCCTTCTCCTGTATCCTGTGACCAATATTTAAGAGATCACCTTCATAAAAATACTAAATTACCAACAGGTGATTGAAAACTTCAGACAGTTGTGAACAGGATCTCTAATAAGCTGCTTAACAAGAGGTTCACTTCTGCCTTGAAGATGTGTTCCCATTATGATGCTTCACTGTGTTGCTTTGCTGACATAATTTGACTTTAAAAACTACACCATGTTTTATCAAGAACTTCTTTCATTTCCCCCTATACAGCAGATCTTCAAAAATTCCGCTTTCAAAGACTGTTGAAGTGGTAGGCTGCAGGACTGAAACTTCTCTATGGCTGCTCTTGAACTGCCCATGTGATGATTAAAGTAATGATCAAGCAGTTCAGATCCAAAATGGAAAATCTGATTTCTTCCTGCACTCCACTGGTTTAAACCCTACAAGGTAAAAATCAGAGAAGTGGGGATGGGGAAAAATAAGAGGAACTTAATGGCAAGAACACAACAGCAAATGCTCTGGATGTAGGCAGAGGAAAATTGCTTTGATGCACAAACTGACAGAAACTCTCCTCTGCCAACTTTGGTATAGGAGTATGTCAGAAATGGGAGTGGAAATGATGAAGGGAAAGGGAAATGCAGACATACAGTTTCTGCTGCTGCCTGAACTCCTTAGGGAACATTCATGCCCAGAAACAGCTAGTGACAAGTGATGGTATCTGAGGTTTCTGCAGATGCTTTGCTGTTCTGAGGAGTCAGATAATCTCTTTTTAGGTGTCTAAATACAGATTATGGAGCTTAACTTTCATCAGTCGTGTCTGGCTTTTATTGACTTGGCAGAGTTTTCAAACAGAAACAGCTGCCAGGCCATTACCAGATTTGTGTCTCCTACTATGGGAAGATGGACAAATAAAGTAAAAACTTTACTTAAAAGTATCTGCCTTAATCTATTGGTGTCCTTGTTTTGTTAATCAGAGCCTACTGACACAGTAATTCAGTTTTCCTTATATCATTGGTGCATAAAAGGTGAAATTTTTATACACAGCAGTAGTAGCAAGGCTTATTTTGGGAATAAAGTAAAACTGGCCAGATGTGAGTGCCCCTTTAAAATCCTAACTGAGCAAGGAAAAAGTGCTTGCCTCACTGGACCAGGAAAGTACGTAAGACTTCACAAGATATGAGACTGCACTTCAATGAATCCCTTGACTTTTGGGTTACATTCATGTCCATCAGCAATTAACTACTGTCAACACACACCTATGCCAGACTGATGGTGAAACATACAGATTTTACTCTTGTAAAGAGTAAAACCGAGTGTTTTTAGGGAAGAAAACTTGATTATTTAAAGTATCAACCTAGTCTATTATTCTTTTAAATAAAATTTTACTATCTTACTACACTGTTATAAAGAAGGCTGATGGTATAAACGTTTGCTACTCATAGAAAACACATTTCTGTTGCAGCTGTAAGCCACAATGTCTCTACAATACAGAGAGAAAAGTGTGTTGCCTGTTGTGCTGATTTCTTGAAGAATCTTTGAAACCATCTGCTTAAGGCCTGGTAGATGCTACTCAGCTGAGAGTGTAGGAGTCTGGTAACCTGAGGAATATCCTCTGAGGACGTTTAGGAAGAAGTGTTACTAGTGTCATCATTTTATGGCAACTGCAGACTTCAGTTACGTTTAATGGAATAATTTCTTCATGCCAACAAAAATATTAAGAACACAGACATTTGGATTTATAAAGAGAGGGTCTGCAATGCCAACTTCACATTTTTTTATTGCACAGCTACAAAGCTGATGTTTGCCTGCCTTTGAAATCAGAAGTGTTTAGTACAGTGCTTTGGCCCCACCATTTCCACAAATCAATCCAAATCCATTTAAAATGCATTCTGTTAAGTGCTTTGATGGAAGACAGAGTGGAACTAAAACACTAAGAAAGCATCTTTCCTTCTCTACCCATAAACGATAAAAGTGCCAGACTGAAGGCAAACTTGGAGCCATCTTCATCATGTCACATTTCTCTTCCAGCTTGTCTAGTTTCTCCTTATCAAAATACTTACCAGCTTTATTTCATGCAAAAATTTGCATGCAACAGACACTCATAAATCTATAACAAAGAACCTATGAAAATGGAGGTACAAATTTTGCGTTTTACATCCTCACATCCTAACACTGCAAGCACAGATGCTTCCAACGACATAAAACATTTGGCACAACCCAGCTTATGAGCAAGTCCAACATACCTGTACAGTTTCAGAGCAATAGCGTAGCAAGCATATCCAGAACATTGTTGTATTTATGATAAAGGTGTACATACTAACCTGCCAAGGCCGATCCCAATCAAGAGGAATAGGAAATGCTCCAAACCAAGCTCCAAGTATACTGCACACAGTAGTAATTTGCAAACTGCTTTCCCAGATGGACATAGCTCTGTAAAAACAGTGCGTTACAAGGTTTCAGCAGCAGCAGCAGATCTGATTTCTCCCAAGATTTTTGAGACTACAGATATAAAAATGCATGTATTCCATAAATAGCATTCAGGTTCCTCCTAAAAGATACAAACTATACATACAATGTCAGTTGCATGTTTTAGCTATAAACACAATCTTTCTATACCACACATTACTGCACCCCAAAGAACTCTTGCACTGCCAATCATGACATCTATCGTAAGAGATGTTAGCGACTTCAGTTCTCAATACAGCCTACTACCACTACTGACTCCAAAAGTTTAGGAAAAGTCAGGTTTCTGTTTAATAGATAAACACTTATTGCCTGTCATCAGTCTTCGAAGTGATTGCTCTGCTTTTCTCAAACCATGGATGTTTGAGTACTTGGTACCAATTAAGAAACAACAGCAGAAGTTGCGAACAAAATAGGGGACAGTTCTGAGACAGGAGAATTGGGTTGAAATCCCTGCTCCAAATCAGGAAGTTAAGAGATTGGAATCTTAAGTTTGCTACATCTCAGACTGTAAATGTAAATTTAGCTTTAGCTAACAGAAGTATAAAAACAGTGGTTTTATGACTAGAAGAGCTGTTGGATAGTAAACTGAATTGCACATGTGCTGTTCAGGTTGTATGGCATGAAAGCTTTAACCCTACACCTTGTTTTGATGACTGTAAAACTTCTGACTGCTTCTGAGTACACCTACCTCATGGCTGCATTTGCTACTGACCAAAGGGCTCACAAGTGTGAAGCAAACATTTTTCATTGTTTGCAAAATAAAGGTCATACAGATTATAGTATTTATGGTGTAACATTGACGTTTTGAGCAGAACTGTTTCTTCTACAATAACCCCATCCCTTTAACTTAAACTACTCCATTTCAATTCACAATACGACCAGTTTGAGATTTTTCCCCCCTCCCAAAGGGAAAGGTCCTGATTTAACTCAAAACTGTTCAAGAACCTACACACTGAAACTTTTATAAATTATTTTCAGAAGCTGAATAACCAGGTCAAGAGAACATCCACTACAGCCTTAAAGCAGTGAAAGAGCCAGCAGAATATACTGAGGACTGACTGAGGTAGATTTACACCCCACAAGACATTTTATCTGGTAAACCTACACACGTACTGCTGCACCATATGGAGATATCAGACTGAGTCCAAAAGCAAAACAACAGAACATGCAAGGCACAGTGCCCAAGTGAAGAACAGCCATTGGTAGTTTGGCAACTATTTGCACTGCTAATCCAACCACTCTGCAGCATGGAACTGGCTACTCAAATACAACTTGACTTGTCCTCCAACATTATCCCCAAGGAACAATGTTTTGATTACTCTTTTCTTCATGTAATGTCACCTATTGGGATTTTTACAGGTAGTCTTCAACCCATTAACTCATCACATAAATGCCTCATTTGCATGAGGCTAATAACCGCAGCAACATTTACAAACTGAATGTTATAGCTTTATTTATTTAACTATGAATAAACTACAACTAAGACCATTCTGCAGGCAAAACTAGTAGTATTTACAGTAAGGAACGTTCACTAGCAACACAAAGGCCGTTTAAAGTCTAAAGTAATTATTTAACCCCTTTAAACAATACAATAAAGTACTGTTTAAATAATGTTTGAATTAAGAGGTTAGCTAAAAGAATTTATTAAAACAGCTCCTGAATAGAGAAGATCTGGAAATTTGGACTGCAGCAGGACTGAAATACTAAGGAGGACTTAGTATTTGATGCTGCCTAACTTTACAAAAGAGATTTCCAAGTATGAGTATGCAGTTCACAAGCAAGTGATAGAATAGGTGAAATGACAACTAGATGGAGCCCTGAAGTTATGGGATTACACTATTTTCAGGCAAACTCCAAATAAAACCTACTTCCTACCCAGGTGACATCTTATAACTGCTATCATAAAATTCAATGCAATTACTCAGTGATTTGAAATAAACAGTCTTCAAAAGGAACAACAAAAATCAGCAATTGAAAGCTGATTTCATAAAAGGCTTTTACGCATGAGGCTATTTCAGCCAATAGTTACTGAAAAGCCATTTAAAGAATAGACACCTGCTTCCCTCAGTGCTGATAACCCTTTCTGTAGCTTCTATTTCCCTCTATCTGCTTACAGCAGCACATGACAGCATATGATCAATATGATCAGCTTCATGACACTGGTCACAACACTAGACGCCAGAATACAGAGTCCAGAGAGAGGTGGCATGGGCCCACCCATCCCCAAACCCAGAATTAGTGGAGAGAGGCTTATTTACATGCTACTTGGTATTGATATGATGTAGAACTTTCCTCACACATTCTATGTGTACACAGACTATAAAAGGTAAGAAAAATTGCTCAAAATCCATGAAGTAAAAATAAAGAAAACCCCAAAAGAAATACATTTGGTTCATCAAACTGATATTTCCAATTCAAAAGTGCACTCAGTTTGAAAATGTGGAGCATATGTGTTTTTCTGTCTGAGCTGCAATTGTGTTTCATGTATATAAAAAAAAAACCAAACCAACCAAACAATACCTCCCCCTCCACCTGCAAATAACCAAACCTTTATTATATAAATAGTTAAACCTGCAGTGTCACAGTTTACATACTATCATTAGAAGGCACATATCGCCCATCGCATAGAGGCATGCACACTTAAAGACTCGTCCTGTAGTAAACTTAATAGAACTGATTTTACTAGCAGTGAATGCACTTCCACATTCTGCAAGCAGAAACAGAGAAAGCTAAGCATCTCTGCAGAAATAATAAGCACTTTGCAAGATTATCCCCACATATTTAAGTCCGACTGACTCAGTTGTACCACAGCTATTACAATGCAATAGACTACATGAAACTTACTGGAATGTAACTTTATGAATAGTTATATGACAAGACATTAGACACATCAGTATTTTCACACTAGATCACCTAAAACGTAACAGAAAGCAGAGCAATAGCTAGGGAATTAGCCTCTTTTACTTATTTATACTTGATCCATCAAGATAAAGACATCTAGAAAAAGCAAGTTTATCTGTCTTTCTGCAAAAGCAATTGCACAAGCAGGTTTTGAGCTGATAAAATATTGCATAGGCAAATATAGATGACAGTGGTTAATTGTTTAAAGTGTATTCAGATTGTTTAAAACAAACTCCTTTTTCATACTAAGCTATATGCTTAATCAGATTTTCCAGCTTGCTGTTCCAGTGAAATTCAATTTGCTGAACTCTTTTTTCAAGGCAAACAGCCGTGTTGATATTACCTAACCATCCTTTTCCTCCATTCAACCAGTTCCACCTCATTCCACGTGGTTATATTAGACACTAAATGCAAGATATTCTAACTCATTCATAAGCCTAAATAAAAAAACACACAGGATTATTTTTAAAAGAGCTAAAATCTTGCTAAAATCGATAAAAAAAATCCCAAACCTGCTACAGTATTTCTTTGTAGTGTATTTTTATTCGAAGGATAGTCTAAATAAACATAATTGTTAAACAGACATTTTACTCAGATGTCACATAGCTCATTAGTAAGAGGTATGTACAAACTGTCACAACAAAAACGTTAAATCAAGACTACTGTTTCCTATGCAATAACTGTGCTGAAATAAGATGGAGATCTAGGCTAGGAAAGACAAAAATCATCAGGCATTCAAAAAACTAACCTGGTACAAAGACAGACTGCTGTCACACATCTGTTACTTCAATTCAACTATTATTTCCAACCGCAAAACCTCCAAAGATGGCTAAGTGAATCAGCAATGATTTGTTTTGGCTAAACAACTCCATGCTTTTATTAAAGTCTATTCAACCCTTCCACTGGAAAATAAAAAAAAACAAGCATAAATGACTTGAATAAGGATTCAAGATCTTTTTCAGCAAGATGAGAACTGACATAAACCAAAAGTTACTACCTGAAACTACTACAAAATCTCTACTTGTATCCTCCTCTACAGAAGTTGAAACCAAAGGTAACTCCAGAGGTCAGCAGCATTATACAACTCTTCACTTTCTTTTGAGATAAGAGGTCATCCTTACAAACTATTAAAAGTGAACAAATGCTAACATCTTATTATTAAACCTCAAAGCATGTGTGGGGCTTTTTTATGCTTCAGCATCCCAGTCTTTCAACAATCCTGGTATGTAGCTAGTGCAGAAAAGGTAGAAGAGACAAAATACATCTGAAAAATACATTATCCAGGATACATGCTAATGTCATGGGCATCACTGAGGTGAAAGTGAGGTAAAAAGGCTCATTTTACTCTAAACATACTCTTGAAAAAAATTAATGCTTGGAACCTCCGACACTGAAACAGCTTTCTTAGAAATCTGAAGACGAGCATGGGTAAAGATTACATACTGAAAACCACAGTAAATTATATATTATTTTCACTCTTACAGTCACATTTAAAATACCATTAAAATAGTTTGCTTTGGCTTGTTATTCCTACTTCAAAAGTTGTATTTACAAAGGTACTATTGGATCATCTGCAAGATTCTCCCTGTACAGCTCAGTCTCAGGTCTCCACTTTAATTGAGAACCATCATACTGGACTCCAGAACAGTTTTATACCAGCAAAACATGTGTTTGGAACTTTACTTTCTTCAAACACATACAGAAACCTAGAATGGTTTGGGTTGGAAGGGACCTTAAAGATCACTCAGTTCCAACCCCCCTGCCCTTTTCTTTGTCAGAAAAGCTTTCATAAGCCTGTAATTACAAATATAAGAACCGCTCATAAATTCAGGAAGTTTTCCTTTCTTTAAAAAACATAAATTCCGTGATCTATTGTTTACCTCAATTCTGTCCATTTCTTTTTTGGGTAAGATGAGAAACTTTAGAATAGAACTTACCCATTTTTACTAAATACCCGTATCCATGCTTGGATGTTTGGTCCCAGCATACACAAGCATTGTAAAGTCGTAAAGGTAGAGAGGAGAACTGAAAACAAAAACGTCTCAGTCACTGACCTACAAAGAAGGAATATTACAAAATTAAGTGAGGCAGTTACTGATATTCTGAGAATTCCAAAGTAAAGGGGTGACTTTTGTTTTTCCCTAAAAGTCAATTTGTGAAAGTATGCATGATTTCTTAAGCCTCATGTAGAAGAATAAAGGATTTTATTATTACTCTGTAGAACAGTAAAGAAAGATGGAAAAAATTCTGGTATCCATTTGTTATCTCAACCAAGACTGAGATGCAGTAATTATTTTAAATACCTAAAAATCCCATGGGTGTACCTCATGCAAAACATTAGTTCTGAAGTATACATGGATATTTACTTCATTATTCCATTTGTTTTTCTTGTTTCACATTGCAGAAGCAGCCATGAAACCAAACTATGTGATGCCATTGTTAGTCAGTAACTTAGCATCTCCTTCAGAATAAAACACTAATACCAAAGGATGAAAGATATGCAAGATGAGTGTTTTAGAGTCTTCTGGGGAAAATGACTAAATGAAACTTGGAAAAATGGCTGCACCTGTATGCTTAATGGGTAATATTAAAGTAAAAGCAGTTGCATGTAACTGCCTTGAACAACACATCTCCAAATACACAGAAATTGTAAAAGCCAGCTTCTATAAATAAAAAACCCAACAAAAAAAAAACAACAAACAAAACCAAAACCCAAACAAAACCCAACCCCCAAAAGACACCCAACCATCAACCCCCCCTCCAAACCAAACCAGCTACCCTTCTTCCCCCAGCCAGGAGCTGATCCTTTAACCTCCAACGTACCAGGAACTATAAAAGTACTGCTACCAGTATCTGCAAGGAGAACTGACTCTTAAAAAGCTTAGAGAAAAATAGGGTTTTCTGACTTACCCTAGGAGAGGTGCTCCATAGAGAACAATAATGGCATGAAATACTATGCAAGACATGAAAAAGTACATACAGCATTTTAGAAATCTGGATATCTAAAAAAGAGCAATAAGATATCAGAATAATGTTGCAAAAGAAAAGAGAACATAAGTAATCTACATGGTCTACATCTTATCAACAGCATTGTACTCTACCCACTTCTTTAACTTCAGCTACAGTGAAGCATGATAATAGCATGGCCTGTGTTGAAACAGTTTTCCCAATGTCTGATACTTCAAATAATCAATTAAAAATGATTACACTCCATTTAAATTTGTTTGACATACCCTATTATTATAAACATAAAAAAGTGTAACTAGAAATGACAAGATAAACAGAGATAGTTTTATTGGGTATTTTTACACTTGTTTTCCATCTGAGTGTTAACTCCATTCATTCAAAGACATCTTTCACAGAAAGTAAAAACAATATTTAAAAGAAAGAAAATATGTAACATTAAAAAAAACAGCCACATTCAGAATCAAAAGTAATACTTAAAATTTACACCAAATAAAAACTACATTTTGAGCTTGGTTTCTTAAATTCTAAATCCATTTGAGAAACGTCCACAATTTTCTATAAATCTGTAAAACACATTTAATTTTTGATGAATTTAAACCATAGTTTCTGGGTACTCACTATACCATCTAGAAGCATACCCACTTGGCAAAGAGTTCTGGTTAGATCTGTTCTGATCAGGTCATCAGTGGAAACCCATGATTTTCCTTAAACACTTTTCAACAAATATTTATTCCTTATGCTAGGCTGGGGTGAAAGCTCACCTAGAACACAAAACCTGCTTCCTTTGTAAATCACAGATGGTTAAAATACTTATTTTCCATGGTGATTTTGTGTATTTCACATCACCCCTCAGTCAGCCAAACAAGAGGCTCTGCCTACAAAGATGCTGTTTTCAGGGGTGTTTGCTTAAATGTTGAAGACTCACCCTCTCGGAGCACGATTCAGAAAGTTGGGAGTGCAAGGCTGTCCTGATTACAAAATGCAGGTGTATTCCCCGACTCCTGAACAAGTTGTGTGCTGCTGCTGCAAATTCATTCTGATCAAACCTATTTCATCAGGATTCATACGTCTAATGCCCCCATTACAAACTGTAACTAGAAGAGTTTATCCCAGATTTAGATTCTGCATGCAAGTTTCATCATGCCAGGAAATGCAGCCATTTTAATAGTTTTCCACATAGCTTTTAAAAATGTACCAACTTTGTTTAAATTGCAGTAAGCCGGCCTCTTTTTTGGGTCTCAAATTCTAAAAACTACTTCTCTCCCTGTAAAATTATTACAAATTTAAAAGTATACATGAGAAATGCATTCCTTCATCAGGCTGAAGGTCAGGCCTAGGCTCTGAAACGAGTTCTGCACCCATTCAATTGCGCCAGGTTTTGCCACCATATAAACTGTTGTAAGATCAATGGCTGGAATTACGGACAATATATTAGCAAGGAAAAGGAAAGGCACAGAATCGCTTGCCTGAACAGGTAGAGAAAGTATAACATCATGAAAACATTGGAGAACTCATTTCAAAGGGTGCTACGCTCAGCTCATTCATGGAAAACAAGAATTCACCAGCAAAAATTGTCCTTTCTTTCTGACTTGATTATTACAGTGACAGCATTTGCTTCCCCTCCATACCATCTGGTAGGAATTTAACATGAAAAATCTTACCTTCTGAGCAAGCGAACTTCTCTTAGGAGAACGATTTGTCTTAAGGACTAAGTGCAAGATTACATTAACGGTACCGACGCAAACAGAACAGATACACAGCCACGCGAGGTGTGTTCCCAAGACCGTGAATCCGTCCCAGAGGAAAGCCGGAACAACCGCTGTCAGAATAACCGAGAACACGCAGAGGAGGTTGGCAGCAAAGAGCCTCCTTATTTCTACTTCTTTCATCGTGGTACCGGTTAGCCGGCCCCCTGCAAGGCAGCAAGCGCGTCCTGGTACTCAAACGCAGCACAGGCACCACACGGTAAGGTTTTGCCTTGTCGCCATAGACAAGGCAGAGCTCTCAGCTTAATTTGGGGATCAAAGTGATTACTTTAGGGCAGAAGAGTGTTACGGGTTTACCACACGGAACAGGCGGCCTGCCCCGGCACCCGCCACCCCCGTGCCCCAGCGCAAGGGAAACCGCCTCAGCGCCCGGGCCGGGCAGCTCCCTCTTCCGGCAGGAGGCGGCGGTGCTGCCCGCTGACGAGCCCCGCTCAGCAGCACCTGCTCCGGGACAGCGAGGGGAAAAAGAGGGGAGCTACAGGCCCGCTCTTACCACAGCGCTGCCGCCGCCGCCGCGGGGCCGCCCGGCGCCGGAAACCGGCGCTATAGAAACGTCAGTTCCGGGGAAGACCCGGAAGCGGGGTTGTGGTGGTGCCGTTGTTGTTGTGGTGGTGGTGGGGAGGCCGCCATGGTGTGTGAGAAGTGTGAGTGCATGCGGGCCGGCCGTCAGCGGGGGTCTGCTGAGCCCGAGGTGGGCTCGGGTTCGGTTGGGGTTCGGCTGGGCAACCATGGGTCCCGGGCTGTACAGGGTGGGCTTTAGGTGGCGGTTCTAGGGGTGTCGGGAGCTGTCGTTCTCCTGTAGGCAGCGATTGGTGCGGGTGTTAATGCCGTATAGGTATATTGTTTTCCTTTGTAATCCTTCCCTGTGTAGGTGAGAAGAAGCTCGGTACTGTAATCACTCCCGATACGTGGAAAGATGGTGCGAGAAACACGACAGGTAACTTTGAGGGGGGGTGGTGGGGTGTTTAACGCTTGTTTTTCCGGTATCTTAAAGTTAGTTGGGCATCTTGAGTTGTCTTATGATCGTAAGGGTAAAATACGAAGTAACTGGGTTAATTTCTAACTTACGTAGTTTTACTTCCGTTCTGATTTAGTCCCTGCCCAAAGCAGAGGGCTGGAACTGGATGATCCTGAAGGTTCCCTCCAACCCAAACAATTCTGTGTTCTGTTCGTTGGGAACTTATTTATTCTGAGCTTTTCAGTATTGAATTTGTGTGTGTTTTTTTCCTGTGTGGAATGATGATATGCAGGTATGATGTAAACTGTTTTGTTGTCCTGTGCTTTAATGCTGTGCTGGATGCTTTATCTCTTCTCGTGACTTTATTTGTAGAGATGTAAAAGCTGTAAACTGTATGCTTTTTAAAGTATGCTTGGAACAGGGGAATTTACTGTTTTATGGCTTTATTCTGTCTGTAGAAAGTGGTGGCCGCAAGTTAAATGAAAACAAGGCACTGACATCAAAAAAGGCAAGGTTAGTATTTAATACTATGCTTGGCTAAAAGACAGTTTTCTGTAACTGAGGCCTGTACCCTGCATTTTTTGGCAACTGCTCAAAACTTGTCCAAAATCCACTTTTTTTTTTAAAAAAAAAAGGAGAAACGTAGGGATTGTGACATTTGATCACTTGGCAAAAGTATGCCCATGTGTATTTCATAGGTACTTTCTGCTGAATCATAGAGCATGGAGAACTGTTTTGCTGCAGTTCTTCCTGACATTGCTATGGTTTGATGCTTTTGTTAGCAGAGGAGCCAGAAAGACTTATTTTCTGTGCTAAGGTGGCTGGTGCAACCTCTTGAGCATTTTCTTGATGTCTGGAGGGTGTTCTGTTAGGTAAGGGGGCAAGGTGCTTGAAGATGTTTCAGTTCAAAATAGTATCTTAATTGAAAGGCATGTTGGAAGTAATCCTTGTTGGAGTTTTTGTCTGTGCCCTCTGGCTTAGGATTTTGAGGATGAGGAGGAAGAAATACTTTATTTCAAGGTGTATATATAAACTACTTGTCCTTTTCCCCAGGTTTGATCCTTACGGAAAGAACAAATTTGCAATCTGTCGGATTTGTAAGAGTTCTGTGCATCAGCCAGGGTCTCACTATTGTCAAGGATGTGCCTATAAAAAAGGTGAGTTTCACAGAGTACCAAATTACCCCCGTTTGATTTGAAATTAGGGAGCTGTTGGAAAACTCGAGTTGGTTTTGCCTCGCAAAGAGAAAGCTGAGATTCAGTTGCTATCTTCAACTACTAATAGGAAGGCTTAGAGAAGGTGGACTCAGACTCTTCTGAGGTGTGCAGTAATAGCGTAAGAGACAGCGTACACAGGTTCGAATGTGGAAAATCCTTATTAATTATAAGGAAAGCAGTTTTCACTGGGATTGTGGTCAAATACTGTAATCCCCGTGACCCTCAGAGCTTGTGGAATCTCTACATGAGATACGTAGAGCTTGACTTGAAAAGCCCTGAGCCAGCCTTATCCAAGCTGGCCGTATTTTGGGTGAGGCAAGGGCAGGAGTAGAGATTGCTGGAGATCTTTTCCAACCTAAGTCATTCTGTGTTCTGTTTCTTTTAGAATGTTTCTGGTATCTAAATCAGTAGAATGAGAAGAATAAGTGTAAGCTTAATCTTGGCAATTACATAGAAAACTGTTATCTAGCAAATTAGATTCTACTTGGTTTAAAAAAAAATAGATTATGTAAAACTCAATTACTTAATTACTTGTTGCTGTCCCTTTTCTGCTCTCTTTTTCCCCTCTCTCATTTTTACAATAGCTGTATTTAAACCTCTAAATAGTGGTCTCATAAAACAAACCAAAAATTCCTCAGCCAAACACCCCAGATCCACACCCCCCCAAAAAATCCCAAACCACAAACCAATCACAAAGCCAACTTCTGATATTGGTAAAGCAGTAGGCTAGCTTAAGTAGAATACCTAGGGAATAAAAGGCAAAGATAAAGAATAAGTTAAAAAAGCAGTTAAAAAAGTGTCTCTGAAGGCAAATCATGCTCATGGGTTTGTGTCTGCGTGTTGTATTGCACGTTCAGTGGCTTAACATAGGCCATTGAAAGGCTCATTTCTCTAAAAGGAGTCTGGTCTATGGTCCAGTTGTGAACGTGCTTGATGCATTGTAAGTCAAGCTTGGCTTAAGGTGAAACTGAAAAATCAAGAGTAATAATACTCATGATTCCTATAAAGCAAGACACTGAGCCCTGCAGTACATAATATATAATTTTTTTCTGTACATATGAGTTATGTGTGAATGACTTCCCTGAAATTCTGCTTATACTTGGAAGCTTTCTGTCTCCCATATTAATTATAAATCTTCAGTATTGTTAAAAAACTTAAAAACTCCTGAGGGAAAAAAAAAAGAAATCAATTACAAGCCAATTTGATGGAGAGCCTTAAGGACATAGAACTTTCACTAGTTTTGTGATTTTTGAGAAGGTAAAGGAAAGGACTCAAAACTTGTAATTTCTGGAGGGGGGGGAAAAAGCAACATGAACTCACTCACATTATTAATACCAAGGAATCTACACAGCACACTGGCAGGGGATGAACCAGTTGTTAAATGTAGAGCTACAGCTAACTAGTAGTAGGTTTTATTTATGAGATTAATTGTTCAATAAATGTGTACTGTGTCACTATGTCAGTGGTTTAGCAGCCTGCTGTAGGAGGGTTGCCTTTTCTAGCTGCTAGCTGCTCATCAGATGGCTGCTTGAATCCCATGTGGTAGAACCTTGTTATGTTTCTTAAACTTACGTCTGGTTTTGGTGGGCTTCAGCATTTTGTCTTTGCTTGTGTATCCTTCCAGCTTGAATCTGGTTTCTTCATAAAATTCAGAGCTCCCAAGTGCTTGAGGCTCTAGTCATGACCATCAGTGACATGGTTATGGCATGGTTTTTGGAGCAAATGCAGTCATATGGCTTAATGCGTCAACTGTTGCATCTCTGAAATTGAGAGGCAATCTAAACTTAATTACTTCTTAATTTAGAACTGAACAGCCTTTGGGCTAGATTTTGCTCTCTGAAGTAAATCACAGGGCATGTTCCCTGTTCTTTCCTAATGGGCTCTTAGTGAGGCACATGATGTCAATATATGAAAACATACGATTTGGAGAAGGTTAACACTTGACATTTCTTTTTTTTTGTCTGCTGATGAATGGTCTTGTAAAATGAGAAGTGACCCTACAAGGGAAAAGATTTAGCACCTTTCTTTAGGTGCTTCAGAAGAAGAGGCAACCCACCCCTCTGCCTCTGCTGAACTTGTGTACTTTTTGCTGCTTTATTCTTCTGAGTTGCCACTCTTTGAGTTTAGGTCGAAGCCCTCTGAGACATCAGCAGTCACCTTCACTTCAGCTCTTGAGTGTTCTTAGTGTCCATTGTCACTTTTGCTACTCTAAAAATAGCTTAATTTTATGAAACTCTTTTCTTCTCAACTGTCTCAATTGTCTGAAGCTCCCCACCTCTTAATCTTGAATTTAGCAGTCAGTATGGTGGTAACTATTTTCATAGCCTTGCTACTTTCTGACCGTCTCAGGCCTCAGTTTGACTCCAGGACTTGCAAAGTTAAATAATGGACTATTTTTACTTGTTTACCAGATGGGAGCCTTTCCTGGCTGTCTCCCAGTATTCCAGCAAATTGCAGAGTCTTTGGGGCAGTTTTGTGAATCATAATGCTCTCAAAATAGAGCTGCTTTTTTTTAAGTGATGGTATTATGCGTATGCTGTAAATGTTAATTTGTATGAAAAGTCATATCATTACTTCTGAATTAGCAATATCTGGTGAGAAAATACAGATACTGACAATGGGATCTCATATAAATAAGTTTTTAAAGCATCTTTACAAAAACACGGCAACTGTAGTTTTGAAGGAAAACTTGAATGATTTTAAAGTAATTTACACCCCTTTTGTGTGCTTGTAGGCATCTGCTCAATGTGTGGCAAGAAGGTCTTGGATACAAAGAACTACAAGCAAACTTCTGTTTAATTGTTTTGACTAGTCTTTTTATAGACTTCAACTTCTGTGTCTTTGTACAGTATTTTTTCTCTGAAATCATTTGTGACTATTACTTGCTGGAAGGTAATGCAGTTACTTGGAATGAGATGAGAAGTAAACACAGTCTGGTGGCCTAGAAATGTACATAATATTTGGGTTTTTTTTCTTGTTCTAGCACTAATGTTAACTGATGTTTAAAGGTAATGGTTTTCAGCAACTGATACAGTTCAAACTGAAGGAGAAGATCCTTGTGGGTAGGTTGAAACTGTCATGACGCAGATCTTGGAAGTTTTACAGTTTGATTCTTTGGATGTATCTTGAGTCTTTGCTTGTCTAATAGTAATATTTTATAGATGTATATAAAATACAAGCTTGTATCACCTCATTAAAGTAGTATCTTCATTTACTTCTATGCTTACAGGTATTTATAATTCCTCTCATCCCAAACTATTGCATCCTCCCCTTTAAATAAATGCAGTCATCCCGTTGATTTTTTCCTTTTTTTCCAGCCTCCAGTAGGGCTGGTTAGATCACAAATTGTTAAACTACTGAAATCTAGTGTGTTACTCTGCCAGTTCTTACTTTGGCAGTAAGACTGATTAGCTGTTCCCTTGTTAGCCTCTAAGGAGGCTTTACGTACAGCATCTGTTGGGCCAAGGCAATAAAATGATGAGCATCAATTTCTAATGCCAGCTTTCAGTCTTATCATTTCCTAGGTTCGTCCAGCTTTTAAGTATTTGGTTTGATACTGGCTCTTGAATTCTATGATGTAATTGCCTATGCGCATGTCAAATCTGAAAGGTCAAGATCTCTTCAGCGTTGGTTTGATGTAAGATTTGAAGCGAGCTTCTGAGCATGAGGGATTCATTGTGACTCTGCATTTCTTTTATCCTTCGGTTAGTTTCTGCATAAGAAAGCAGTTTCTGTTATGCAGAGTAATAAGTGTTGACTGTGCATGCATTTTAAGGGAAAAGAATGGTACTCATAATTCATAGACCTATTTAAGTGTGTCTCCTCCCAGCAATCTCCTCTTGGCAATCTCTTGTGCTTCTGCAACTTCCTTTCAACTGTAACAAAAAAGCTATTAATGGGAATTTCCCTGTTAATAGACGCTCTGGTTTAGGTTTTCTTTTATTCTCAAATCAGCTACTGAGAGAACTGCATGACTAATGGAGTCTGAAAAATCACTGTTCTTTCTGTAAGTGGAAGAAAATAAAGAATGCTGAGCATATAGTTACTCTCTTAGCTCCTGCCATGCTGTGATTATGCTGTAAGTAGCCCTCTAAAGGGTTGCCTGACATTTCCTGTCACCCTTAACTATCCATTATTGAGCATTTGTCACCAAAGTTTCTTGTGCTGAACGTGCTGACATCTTGACATCCTGCAGTTGCTAAAATGGTAATCCTTTTCAGCACTTGATATTTACTAAGAAGCTGTGTCAGGGTAATGGAGTGAGCTGGGTCCCCAAGAAGAGAGGAATGCTGCTGCTTTTTATTTTAAAGGCTTCACGTACCTTACAATTGGAGGTATGTGGATTAGCTAGCTGGTAGCCTACAATGTTACTTCCATATGATGCTGGCCACTCATTTCCAAACACATTAAGGAATTCTACTATTAGTGTACATCTCTGTGGCACATCCTTTGTATGGATGAGAAGAAAATGTCTATAATTGCTTGAAGTTTTGCAGCAATATGTCAGCAATGTCAGGTGGCAGATACTCCCATGTTCTCTGAATTCTTCACCCTTTTGTGGGTGTGTTCTATAAGATTGATTTTTGCTGTTCTCTGAATGAAACTTCTTGTCTTCATAAAACTTCCCAGTATCTGTATTTCAGCTGCATGACTTTGTAACCTTGAATATGTGGCACGAATTGAATGTTTAATGCACTCTGTAAATACTGGCACTGAATGAACTCTTACCTCATTTTGGAAATGATTTAGGAACAACAGGGATTTAAATAATACAGTCCTTTGTTCAAAAATGTTTTGTGACTGGAGCTTGTATGTACCTGTTACTGGGCAGCTGCTCTTGCATGTTAGAATGTATTTCTATTGGAAAAGGAGGGCACTTTGGGGGTTTGTTCTGTTTAATAGTGCATACAAACAGTGGTTTGTTGAGTGGTTTGTACGTTCTTGGGAGCTTCCATCTGTAGCTCTCAAGCCTTCTTAGCTTTATGAGAGGTTCAGTTCCCGAAATCTGTAAAATTTGCTGATGCAACAGTCACATTTCAGAAAAGCCTGTTTCCCAAGCATTGCTTTGGAGACTCATTGCTTTAGATTTGGATCACAAGCCCTATCTTGCTCCTCTGAGATGCACCACAGTTCAAGGCAATCTTGGTAAAGAAGCACTTAAAGTAAGCTTTTAAACTTGGATACTCCTTCAGTATATTGAATTGTCATATAAAGTCATTTTTGTTGATAACTAAAATTGTTTTGCTTGCATGGGATGCCTTTCCTGAGACATTGTGCAGTGAAAAACAAAATCTGCTGCAATGGAAAGTTGCTGGTTTTGTTTAATGTACTGAAAAGAACACGTTAATGTTCCCAGATGAGACAGATGATCAGACTGTCCTCTAAATCGCAGGTTACATAAGACATTTGTGCTGCCAAATTTAATAGAATTAAAATTTTCCTCAGTAGTGCTGAGTTCCTATACTGTACTTGCTGTTTCTGCATGTTATTGGCCAGAGCTGTTACTGAGCTAAGTATAAGCAACATTTTGATGCAGATTATAAAGAGAAAAGAGCAGATTAACTATAAAAATGTTACTGTGTCTGTAGCAGCTTATCATACGAAACTTGAACAGGGGCTATTGAAGGGCCCTTGTGTCAGGGTGTTCTCATATTCATGTTGTTGTTTTTGTTTTGTTAGGTGTTTTTTATTTGGTTGGTTTTGGTTGGTTGGTGTTTTTTTCTTTTTGTTAAACCTTGTGCTGGAAGCTGGAGGAAGGACCATCCAGGACAGTCATACAGCAATACTCTTCCAAGGCATTAGGACTACTTTGATTGTTCACGTGTAGAAATAGGGCAGGATTTTTCCCCTCTTAGGTTTACTCTGTTCATTATCAGAAGGATAGCAAGAAAGACTTTGTCATACACAGGGATGTCACTGACCACTTTGCATTCAGTTTTTCTTGAGAATGTCCCAGACTTGCACCAAAATATTTAGCAAAAGAAAAGAACTAGAGTTTCAGATGGTAAGTCTGTCGCACCTACATGCTTGTTCTGGCATCACTCCTATCATCAGCTCATCTCTCCACAGTGCCTCAGATTGCACAGATTTTCCAGTTCTGTATCAGCTGAACATTGCTCTACCCAGAGACACTTACTTAGACCTCTGCAAATCTGCTTGACAAATTCTGGGCAAGAATGACTTTGTGCCTTTGTGTTGTCAGTGGACATAAGAGCTGTGTGCAAAACATGAGAAAACAACAGACTGAAGTAAAGGGCTGCTTGAAGTGGTGCAATGAGCCATGTTGATATATTTTTCTAATACAGAGCTGGAAGTTTCCCAGCTGCAGGAAGAATCCCCAGCATGAGAGATTCATTATTCACTGAAAGGCAGTAAGCCAAGAGCTGGAGCTATGGCTCTTTACATCTGCTATGGCAAAACTTAGTGACAGGGCTTCTGCAGTGAGAGTAAGATTCTGGGGCTAATAAAGTCTTTAAAAACCCTTCAGACAAGAAATTGTTTTCCCTGGATTGAAGCTGGGCTTCCTGGTCTCCTGTAAGTATATGTGGCCTAAAGATGGGGCCCTCTATCATTTGCTTTGGATGCTGGAGAATCCATGAGTGTTTCTGGCAGTGTTGTTGCCCAGTCTCTGTCTTACCAGTTGCTTGACTATCTGCTCAGCAAGCACTGCTTCAGTGTGGGATCATGCAGGTATCACTTTTGCTTACAGTATTTTACCAGATCAAGGTGCAAAATGGAATACTGGTGATAGGAAATCTCTCCCTGAATATCATGTGAGAATGAATACATTGCTGCATCACAGCTGAGGTTTGCTATTCAGCAAAAATGTTTGTTCTCCCAATCAGCAGATTACTAATGACAAAGCCAAATGTTTCTTCTAGTGAGGACTGTAAATGTGCCTCATGTGAAGACCAGTTGGTTTTGAGTGGCTTGTCTTCCTCCCCCACTTGTGCTTTTATGGCAGAAGTTATCATTCTTTATCATCTGAAATTAATCAGAAACTGATTTTTCATCAACTTGGGGCGCGGGGGTGGGTGGGTATAGTTCACTTTGCAGGACTTGCATGAGGTATACATGTGTTCATCATGTCTGACTAGTGCCTGCAGAAAACGAGCTCTCTGTTGACAAGGAGCCCACTAAGGGCAACAGGAGCAGATATGTTGAAGGAACCTGGAAGAACTTGTTTGAAATCTTGCCAAGAAGCTGAAAGAAGAGCAGAGTGGAGTGTTCTGCATGGGGGTATTGCTGGTAAAGATTCCTTTCTTAATGGTTCACAAAGACGCTTCTGTTCCTTACTGTCTTTTTTTTTTTTGCCTTGCTGCCATTCGTTTGTGATAAATTGCAGGTAGATTTTTCAGGCACCACGGAATTGATGGCCTAAAGAAATTACTGTTTCTTCCTTTCTGTGTCTGCACTGAAAGATGCAGACTGAACTTTGCAATGTGAGTGATTCATTAAGCACAAGCACTTCCAGCAAATGCGCTTACTATATGCTTGTTTGCCAAATGGTGCTGAGAAAACAAATACTGAGGTTTTATTTTGTTGTTATTTTTTTTTGTGCCTCATCATGGTTCTGATAATTAAATATCAGTATTGTTCACTGTTTCAGATCACACACAAACATACAGAACTCACAGTTGCCATTTTCTACTGGCTAATGAACCTCATCACAGGCATCTTAAATATATCACTATCACTCCAGCCTTCAGGAAACATGCCTTGTTAATTTTCTGTTACTTCTTTTGCTACCACAGAAGGTAAAGGGTTTAAGTTTATACAGCTCCCAGGTAGTGCTATGACCATTTACTGTTCGAGGCCCTCAGTGAACATGGGTTAGTGGTGGGCCTTGGCAGTGCTGGGGAATGGTTGGACTTGATGATCTTAAAGGTCCTTTCCAACTTGTTTGATTCTATGACTCTGTGATATTTTTACTGCTGTTCAGTAACACGTTAGTGCGACTGAGACTCTGTTGAAAGGCATGGGCTCTCAGGGAGCTGGCATCTAGCCCAGTCCAGCTGTCATCTTTTATTGATTAAAATATTTAAATGCTAATTGGATTAAGCAAAGACTTTACTCTGACATCTTAAATCTCTGCCTTTCTGTTGAAGGCTTTTGAAGGAGTGATGACATGACATTTCAGTGATGAATAGCTTCCTTCTATGGCTTCCAAAATCAGTGTTTCCTAAAGGATGGGAAGTAAGCAAAAGTGATTTAAGGGAGGAGTTACTCTGCTGATTTCCAGATTTGATATTTTGTTTGTTTTCAGGTAATCCCTAATGATTAGGATTTCACAGAAATCTGTCAAAGCTCAGGCATTTTGTGTATCCAGTCATGTCAGCCTGCATATGAAGAGAACCTGAAGCAGTGAACTGCGAGATTAGTTGCTTTAAGCTTAAAATAGATCCTTGTTTGGATAACGAGATACTAGTAACATCGATTGCGGCCCCTCTCATCAGAACACGTGAAATCTAAATTCAGAAACTCATGGAACCAGCACGTTTCTGAGCCTAGGTTAGGGATCGTGGACAGCTAAGTAGATCAGTATGGGTTTACATAGGTTTGGTAGGGCTGCAGTGAAGAGGAAGAAGGGGGCACTGTGCACTAACTCCATGTAGCATCCTGCAGTACTGTTGTGGAGGCTCTAAACAGAGAGGCTCCGTATGCTTATCTTGACAGTAGCTAAGAAAATAAGTGTCTGCTAGTGAGGGAGCAGAATTCATGCTTTAAGAGTCAAAAGTTTTCCAATTTAACGTCTGCCACAGATTCCAAACTATTACAAATAGTGACCTGTGCAAGGAAAATCCTATAAAGAACACTGAAAGTAAATAATTTCTGAAGATTTTGCTGATAATACCCCCATTTCTTTGTTTTATCTACTTTTCTTCTTACAACTACCCCTCTGCACCTGGCTGACATAGAAGCATATGTTATTGCTGTATGTTGAGTAAGTGCAGCACTGAGATAAAAATAGGCAACTAGGTATTATGGTATATGAAGAAAAAAACCCAACAGTTTTTAAAGACTCGCATATGTTCACTATAAAAG